TATAAGAGATATTGTATATATGAGAGATATCTAATAAATGATATATATATGATATATGTGAGATATGAGAGATCTATAATATCTATGATATTTGAGAGATTTGAGAGATTTGGGGCTTAGCTAATTTAGCCATTTATATCCAAGTCACATGTATTTAATTTAGTACTTCATCAAAATCATCCTGATCTTGTGATCCCGTGATCAGAATCATATGATTTTGTGCTCATTAAAACCGTCTCAGTGAGCTGAATCTAATGGTGGTTGATTCATCCAAATTGGTCTGGTACATCAAAAGTTATAATCGAAAATGTGAAACTTTTAATGTCAACAACGCACAAAACTTTTTTATACTCCCTCCTTCTTTACTCACAATTGTTAACCATCACTCTTTTTCTTTTAGAATATTAGTTATAGTTGATTTTCCAACATTATAACGATCAGCCAAATCTATATTTTTAATATTTGGGTTTTTTTTCTTTTTCTAGACAAATATCCTATTTTTGCACAGCTGAAAGAATAGTTCATTTTTTTGTTGACATTATTGAAATTAGAAAATATGTTGACTTTTGAAAAAAGCAAAAAAAAAACTTGAGATATTATTTAAAATATTTTTATTAGATCAATTTATATATTTTTTATTACTTTATACAACTTTTCATCACTTTTTAGTTTACAAATTTGTTGAAGAATTTTAGAACTTCATAGTACTTGAGGCTTGATATTTGAAATAAAGAAAGATCATATTAATTTTTTTCTATTTAATTATTCACATAGCTCTTTTTTTTTTTAAACATAAATGTATAGTATGAAATAATTGTGATTATATTTATTTATACAGTTTATTAATTACAGTGCTATTACTTTTTTTTACATACATGCGATTGAGCTCTGTTATTTAGTCTTTTTGATTAGCAGCTCAGATAAAATTATCATCAAGATTGTAAAAACTAGATTATATATTATATATCTACTTCATTTTTTGAGACAATTAATATATATATACAATAATAAATTTCAGTTAAATAATCCATATGTTGTAAGTTACCCAACTTGTATAAAAAAAATTTTTTAATAATTTATATATAAGAATTATTGTTATTAAATATATAAAACTAATTAATGTGTATTTTATTCAATATTTGTTGCATGCGAACATGAATGCTTTATACTAAAATATGCATATACTCATATGAATAAGTGTGAAATTTTATTATATTATATCAATTAAATTAAGTAATTGTCAAAAAAAGTTAGAATTATCAGATAAGATCAAATCGTTATTATAATTGATTTAGTATATTTTTTACAAATCCAATAAATTAGATACACATAGATATAGCAAAAAAAAACAAATTTATCTTTTAACAATAGTAATGGTTTTATATTATCTTATGCTAAATAATTTTTTAACACAAATCGGTACTCAAATAATTTATAATAAGCAGTCTATTTATTAGAAGAAAACCACAATTTATTCTGTGATTCGTACTTAATTTTTATGAATTTCAAAGTCATGTAATATTTCATTATATCGAGAAAAAACAAATAACATTTGTAATAAATGGGCTAAAAAATTTAGTTCAGATGCGGTATATAAAAATTTAATATATAGTTCAGTATAAATAGCTTAATTTATTATAGATAAATTTGTTCTGCTTATTATAATCAAATTTCAGTATATAGAGATTCAGTATAAACAAAGTCAACTGTATTCTCTATCTACCAAAGTATTTTATTTTCATTTATCTAACTACTTGGGTTTATACAAATATATACACTATATAAAAATTTTTTTATGAAATATTAACTAACTTAAAAATAATAAGAAAAGAAAGTTTGATGTTGTTTACAAAATAGGCAAAAGTTATAGTAAAATTTGTATATTCATATTCTGTTGTAAGAATTGAGACAATTTGTTTTCTATACTTTTGATAGTTGTTTAATTTAATAAATTAAATACTATAGAGGTCTCATTTATGTTATCAATTAAATTTAAAAGATATTTATACTTATTTTTGTGATAAAGAATAAAGACAAAAAATTTTGTTGTATTTTATTATAGAGCATTTCTATTTGTACACAGTATATATATATACGGTTAATATAGAGAGCTAATCAGATTGCACGATCAGGTGTAATGTAAAATTATTGCTTTCTCCAAAATATTACCGATATCTCAAAATTTCGCTTATGAAATCACCTTTTAGATTCTAACAAAAAAAATTCTTTGCGAAATTTTAATATAGAGCTATAACCCGTCCAAATCCTAAATGCACCTTTACCCTAACCCAAAGTAGTGCTTAATTTTTTGTTTATAAAAGTTGTTTTGATTGGAATATTACACAGATTTACAAATTAATAATCATGTTCAAACACACCGTGTACAAATAGTAATATATTCTTCAGATAACCTTTGTGCTATTGTAATATATTAACAGTTTACTAATAAATTATGAGATATGAATTTATTTACTATTTATAGATAAATCGATATTTGTGAATATTTGAATAGAGAGTACAATATTCTTGTTTGTTGGCCAAGTTACATGCTCTTATATTAATTATGTATCTGGTTACAGTTTTTAGTTGCCTTTGTAATCTATGAAACTATTCTAAAAGTTCTTCTTCAAGCTGAGAATATTTAGACTTCACACTAGTATTAAATTGTTAAGCATATAGAGCTATATATATTGAATTTTTTTTTTTATTCTTTTAATTGCAAATCTGTTTAGATTTGATCTCAAATTTATCAGCTATTGTCTAGATACTATAATTATATTCTTGATAAAATACTACTATTAATTTTTTATAGACATTTTACTGTTTATATTTTTTTATATAGTGGTTGCTCGTTATATTTTAAAATTTTTTTTTAGCATTTTTAAAATTATAAAATTGTCTAACAAATTTTTAATTTAAAAATTTTTGTATATTTTTATATAGTCACAAGACAAATCTAGGAGTATAAAAATATCATATGAATATCTAAGAGGTAATATACCTATATATATAAAAATAACTGCTTTATATCATTATTTTTAATTTGTATTATCTGAACCTTTAATTTCGAATTCATAACTATCAAAGGTACTTGTCTAGTTAATATTTTTTATATAATGAGCCCAAACCAAAATATTTACAGCTTTTATAAATTTTTTTGATCTAATAAACTTTTGGTGTGCTATAAAAAATAATTTCATAAATATTATGTTAAGAACTATTCTCATTATACTTCTTATAATCCTAAATTCAAGATATCTGCAAGCATTTTTTGTTTTTATTATATGATAGATTAAGTTTCTTTAATATATATACAGTATATATACATTTTTATTTTATTATTTTATTTTATTTTTTTATTTTATTCACTTTTTTCTTGCTTATAAATATGGCACACCAACTCTAATAACCTAATGTTCAAAAGAAAAAAATTTATTGTTCGCATTTGGTTAGATTGATCTTTAGCTCTCTTTAAGCTGTATATCTTGAAATAGCGCCTGGAAGATAATACGTGTGTAGTTTCGAATTAACGCCAATTGGCATCGCGCATCCCAAATAACTAATGGTTGCGATAACGGCTAGCATGGTTATGCATTAGGGGATCTCAACTGGTGAATAATTTCTTTAAGTTTCACCAATTCAACATCATTTTCACCAATAGCGGTAAATTATTTCACCACGCTAGTTTAATTTCACCTGCATCTTTAGTCTCAACATTTTTTGTCGCGGTTGATGCTGAAATTGGCTGAACTGCTAGAATGCACATATACTCTCTAATTACTAATACATCATCTAATGGAATAATGCAAGATTCTATTAACCACTCTGAACCCGATAATCATGAAAATTCATCATCTGAA